CTGGAACATATACTTTAAAGGTAATACAAAAACCTATTAGCACAATCCTTATAGAATTAAAATTTGAAACACGATATAAGTGCTGTTGTTAATCATAAAGGACTTGTTTTATTCTATCTATTCTGGAACACATATCGTCACCATATTTTTCATTGATCTTCTAGACATGCAAAAAGGAAGTTGTTCATATATGATAATGAAATATTGTTTACATACGATTTGTGGTTGTATATCAATAACGTCTGCAACGCAGATGAAGAGGAGAGAATTAGAACATTACGTCTGACAAAATATATTGTCAAAAATTGTGTATTCTCTTTTCTTCATTATTTATATGTCATTGAACATTTTTATTATGTTTTATACAATATATTTTAGGTACTTTATAGAGGTTTTCAAATCCATAGTCGAGAAATAACAATTGAAAATTCATTATCACCATTAAATTTAACGATTATTATATCAGCTTCGACTTATTTGCCTTACATGAATATGACAACTGAAGCATCATCAACGATCACATCAACTTCAAAGAATTCATCTTCGAATATTTTCTTGAACTTGAAAATTCTATCATCATTGATATTCTTATTTATTTATTTTATTCTCATGAAAGAGAATTAAATATAATGAAAGAAAAATTTGCAGAATGCTTTTTTTTTGTGTTACCCTTGAGTAGCACCAAATATAACAATATTTAATTTATTTAATTGCATTAATAACTTCAGATTATCAGAAACTTCATCAATTGAGATATAATGACCTATAATATAAATATGATTAGGACAACAACGAAATTGATTATTTGGAAATGGAAGAGTTTTGTTAACTGAATAACTTTCAATACCATGCTTAGCTTCTAATCAAGTTTCTGAACGCCATACTGTACAACAATTGAAATTCAGAAATCACATGAAAGATATTCACATCTATGATGTTTATATTGGATAAGCTAAATAAATAAGAAATGAATTATTCTTGAATGATTTTATTTACATAAAAAATATTGTTTGTCAAGTGTGTGATATTGTTTCAATTTCAGATTCAATTTTACAACACCAATTATTAGATATATCATAAGGAACATGTTTGTTAATTGATTTTGGGAGTTTTATTTCAGGTACTTTGTTTCTTTATTTATTTTTTATTGTCGACATCCTTAAGAAAACAAAAAGCGATGGTAATTTTTCTTAGTTAAGAATAGCTAGGAAAATTTGACTTAGATGAGTTTCCATTTATATCTTATTTTATACACAATAAAGTGATAATTGAGACGCTAGTGTTTTATTGACACTTGTGAGCTGCTCATAATATATTTTTCTATAAGCTGATTGAATTTTCAGGGACAACTGTACAGAAGGTATGTTGACATATATTAATACGGCACCACTGCTGCAGTATGGTAACATGTTTCTGAATAACACTGTCCTGTGTTTTACTTTCTATACGTACGCATCGAAAGTGCGTATTTCCTATTGCGATAATCTCATGGACGAAAATTCAAAAAATAATCTTTCAAACAGAACAAAATCTCTTTTCCGACTCTTCAAACAATTTTTCATTTGCTTACAAATAGCACTTCAAAAAAGGAAACCTTTATGAAGTTTTTTTTTAAGATTCGAGATATTTAAACGATTACAGTACAAAAAACTAGCCGTTACTTTGTTTGACCAATCGAAACGGTGCATCTCAGTTCTAAATACAATTGATAGATAATTGATTCAGTGAGGGCCCAAAAAAGCATGCACTTTTTTATTTTTACACATAAACGAATAATAAGGATGTTCTAAAAATTTTCTCTTTTATCTAATTTCGTAGAGCTTTTTTCGCTGATCATTTTGGTAAAAAAACTTTTTGATTTTCATTGAGTAATGACCATGTTATAGTCAAAATACTAAACACTGTAGCAAAAAGTAGGGAAAAAGTTTAGCACACTTTTAGTATTTGCCTAATTTTTACGTTATTTCACGACATCTGAAAGATGTTTTCTATACTATTCGATGCAGAATTTAATGGGCTACATTTTGGTAGAAAATGCTTATACTTATATTGTAGTTAATTAGTAGTTAATAATAATTAGCAATTAAATAATAAAGTTTCGATTTATTTTTAAATTCCAACTATATCATTCGAAAGAGCATAAAAAACTGAACAAAACTCTATAATTACTATTTCGAAAACAACGAATTTAGTGAGGTTTTAGTGTGATTTTCAGAGTATGTTCAGTTATAATTAGATATAGTATTCATTATTTTTAATAAATTCAATCCTGAAACGGCACATGAAATACGCGAAAACTGGCGCATTTTAAAGAGCATCATTTGCTCTTTCAAATGACATCTCATTGCTTCCTCTGCAATATTCTATACAAATGTTATAACGTGTTTCGAAATATATAATGCAAAATAACAAAAAAATTGCTGGAAAGCATGGCTTGAATTAGCTTTTACAACTAAAGACGTTATAACATTTGTATAGAATATTGCAGAGAAAGCAGTGAGATGTCATTTGAAAGAGCAAATGATGCTCTTTAAAATGCGCCAGTTTTCGCGTATTTCATGTGTCGTTTCAGGATTGAATTTATTAAAAATAATGAATACTATATCTAAT